ACTACGCGCTTGGCGTGGCGGTCGTCTGTCAAGCGTGATCCCGAGTCATCCCGGTGCACCTCGATTCCCGGTAGAAGGAGAGAGGCCCTGTGTCACTCATCCGGAAGGTGGCATTCATCTCTTCCTTGAATGCCGCCACCTCCGCATCCTTGGTGCCGGTGATCACCAAGTCGTCGACGTGAGACACCCACCAGTGAGCATTTCCTCCGCCGCCTGCCGGTAGATGGCCGCCTCGTCGCGGGCTTTGCTCAAGCCCATCCCTTTAACGTGGAATCCACTTGGCATTCCACGCCCTCGATCTGGCGCGAAGCCATAGAGGCCTTGCGCAGCAGCAGCATGTTGCCCTCCTTGCCGGGATCGCAAATCCCGCGGGTGGTGCACGTAGACCTCCTCCTTCAAGTCGCCGTTAAGGAACGCCGACTTGACGTCCATGTGATGAACACGCCACCCTCTTGGGCAGCTAAGCGCAAAAGAGGAGTCACACGAACTCCATCCGTGCCACGCACGGAGCAAAGGCGTCATCGAAGTCGACCCCTCCCTTTGCCGCACGAAGCCTCGTGCCACCAAGCGAGCCTTGTGCTTGACGATGGCACCGGCTTCATCCTCTTCGCCTTGTACACCCACTTAAGGGTGATCGCGCGCGGTGACCACGAGGAAGGTCGAGAAGCTCCAGTGCGGTTCTTCTCAACCGCATCCATCTCCAATCGCATCGCGGCGCGCCATGCCGCTGCGTGTCTCGGCCTCTCTGCAAACGATCCGAGGTTCACCGTCGTCACACACGCAAGGTGCAACTTCGCCTCCAGTCGTGAGGCACCGGTCCCGGCATCGGTGGTCGCCGAGAAGGTTCTCCAACAGACGATACAGCAGCAGCTCGCGCCGTCGTGGTACGCGCGTCGACGCTGCTCCTCGTCGTGAGAGAGCGGAGTGGCGAGCTCAATCGACCCGTGCTCGACACGAGCCGGTGGTGGTGGGGTAGACGTGCGGAGTGGTGCTGTTGGTCTTTGGAGTCGCGTGGCGTTGCGGCCGTGTGGTGGAGCCGGCCAAGAACTCATCGCAGCCGAGGTCCCTGGCCGGAGAGCGTGGTCTTTGTCGAATGCTTGCAGCGCCGGTCGGTGGAGGCTCGGGGGCCCGGGGTAGACGCGCGCCGCCAAGAGGAACCGCCTACTCCCCAGCCTCCCTCGGCGGGACGTATTCGACAAAGGAAGTCGCCGTGCGTCGGAGCCGAGCCGTCGCCCACCGCTTTGTCCCACGCCCATCCTCGCCCTTCGTCCGAACACAACGCCGCGCGCGCGTCGCACACACGCCGTGTCTTCGGTCGAGGATGCGGTAGGCCTTCGAGCCTCCGCGTGGCCGATGAACACTCCCGGAGTGCTCTGTCGCCGAGCTTTTCTTGGCGTGGCCAAGCTCCTTGGCAAACGCGCGGCGTAGAAGATCCGCAAGTGGGAGACCGCCGGCTTGCGCCCCATGCCAAGCCTCGTCGACGGCGCCCTGCCGTCGAGCGCCTTTGGTAGGCGGCGGTTGAGGATGTAGACGGCCGTCACCACCGCCTTTCTCCCGAAGACAACCGGCCGGCATCCCCTCGCTTGAGAAGGGCCCGAGCCATCCCCACAACCGTTCTGGTTGCGCTGCCGACGACGCTGTTCTGCTGCTGCGTCAGATGTCTGGTAGCGGAGTAGTGGCCAATGCCCTCATCATCAAGAATGCGACACGAATTCACCCGCCGAATTCGCCGCCGTTGTCGGTGGTCGCAGACGCTGCAGACTTTGCGGCCGCGACTCATCGCCTCGCGATCGACTGAAGCGCTGATGGCGTCCGCACCTCTCCCTTTGCCGCCAAGGACCATCACCCACATGTAAGCGGGAGAGGTCGTCGACGAAGCGGCGAGGAAGTAGCGTCGTCCTCCCCGGTGTGGCCGGTGTCACCGGCCACACAAGTCCCGTGCACAAGCTCGAGCCTCTCCTTGGCTCGAAAGCTCGACCATTGGGGAAGGGGAGTCGCCTCTGCCCGTCAACACGCAGACGCCGCAGCAGTCGCTCCACATGGTCGAGGCACGGCAGGCCTCGCACCATCTCCGTGGCACCGAGCCGCCTGGGGCCTCGAAGTGAAGGTGCCCAAACGCTGCGTGCCACTACCACGCCTCGTCGTCCCGACGAAAGCGGCGAGACAGAGGGGTTGTGCCACACGCGTTGAGGGCGTAGAGTCGATTTGCGCTTCGTTACCTTGGCAAGAAGGCGACGGCGGCGATCCCAAATCCTCATGACTCCATCCTCAACCACCACGCCACGAACCGTTCTCATCCAAATTGTCCCAAGTCGATGATGGAGTTCCTCAACGCGGGATGTAGTAGACTCGGTGAGCGACTGTGCTCACCGTGACACCGGCGCAGTGAAGATGACGAGCCGCCGCCTTGATCTCCACGCCGAAGGCATCCCCAAACTTGACGCGGAGCCTCGGACACTAGAGTCAAGCTCGGTGAAGAACTCCGTCGGCCGGTCATGTGATGGGTGGCGCCGGTGTCGAGGCACCACCCGTCGATCTTGTCATTGCTTGGAGCTATCGCCGAGGAGGGCGTGTGCTTTTGGCTCGTCAAGGTGGAGGAGAGCCGCTGCGGCGGTGCCGCGGAGGAAGCTTCGATGCTTGCATGTGCCATGAGCGAGCCGACTCCTCCTCCTCCGCTTTGTCGACGTGGGCTGGCTGGCAGCGTCGTGGTGCCGACGATCCTTGGCCCAATGGCCAAAGTGACGCGATTCTTGCGCGTAAATCTCGTCGTTGCTTGTTGCTGCCGGCTGCGCGCCGCCTGGCGCCTCATGGCATCACCCTCGGCACGTCCTCGCGCCCGGCACAGGCGTCTCATACGCCTTGCGTGGCTTGCCACGCTTATGCCCGCTTCGTCACGGAAGAAGAAGCTCCCCTTCTTCCGGTCACCTTGGCCGGCAAGTCACTTTGCTCCCGAGTGAGAAGGAGCTTCCGCCCGGATGGTGATGGGCCCCGAGAGAGAGGCGTGGCTCATCGGCGCCGACGACCTTGAGGCAACCTATCGCCTCCTCGATCGACATCGTGGAGAGATCCAAAGAGGACTCGATCGAGCAAGCCATCTGCTTGTACTTCTCGGGGACGCAGCCGAAAGAGCTTTTCGACGCCTCTCTCCTCGCCGTAGGTGTCATCGCCGAATCGCACCATCTTCTCGCAGCAGAGTGTTGAGACGGAGAGCAAAGTCATCAACGTCCTCACCGGCTTGAAGGCGGTGTTCTCCCACTCTTGCGAAGTGCTGCGGCGTGGACTTGCGGGCGCGGTCGGCTGCCGGCGTCGTCTTGCAGCGATGGCGTCCCAAGCCTCCTTGGCGATCCGCTTGTTGGTAGCGAGAATCGCATCTCGGGTGGGATCAACTGCGATAAGGGCATCCAAATACCGTCGATCTAGGTCGTGGTCGACGTCGCCGCACTGGACCGCCTCCCACATGTGCCGCACTGGAGCTTTACCCTCATCACCGCAGACCCACTCGACGTGGTTGGTCTTGGTGAGGTAGGCCACCCATCGCAGGGACCGACGTCCCCGACAACGACACTGGAGCCTGTGGTAACCACGGTCACCGTCCGGGGAGAGAGAGCCACCACCGCTGTGAAGGCCGTGCTCTCCATCGACCCGTCGGTACCGATCCGGGAGAGAGCCACGCCGCTCGCGGAAGGCCGCGCTCTCGATCGACCCGCCATCGCTGCCTTGCGCGCGCGCTCCTCCTCCTCCGCGCCGCCGCCGCCATCTGCGCCTCCTCTAGGGGCGCCACCGCCGTCTTGCGCGCCTCCACCAAGAGCGCCCGCCGCGCGCCGCCCGCTGTCTGCGCCGCCGCCGCTCGTGGGCATGCACGGCGCCCAGAGCGCCACCGCCATCGCGCGCCTCCTCCAGAGCGCCACCAGTAGCGTCGCGCGCTGTCTGAAAATTGCCGCCACGCTTCGTGGGCGTCGCGCCGCCCATCGCGCCGCCAGCTTTCATGCTGCCTCCCTCTCTAGCGGCTCGAGGTCCGCGTCGGCGGTGTCGTCGGAAATGGATGCTGCCGATCTTTGCCGCATAAAGCCTCGACCTCATTGCTCGCGATTGCCGCATTTCGCCGCCGCCGCCTTCGCCTCATTCTGCCGCTTGCCGCTCATTGCCATTGCCGACCTCGGCGCCCTTGCTGAAATCGCCGCCGGCTGATCTCTGCTTTGCTTCGCTCGCGTTCCTCTGCTGCAGCAAGTTCGGCCTCCTCGCCAACGCCACGGCGTGCTCGAGGCGCACCGAAAGTCTTGAGATCGCCTCATGGGACATGACGCTACTGGGGGGGCATTGCGTGGGGAGAGGGCTGCCAGACATTTAGCTGCTACTCGTCTGCAGAGCGGAGGAGGAGTGAGCGAGGGCGGCGGGGAGTTGCTTGCCGCCAACAAATTTGTTGTGGGGCTAGGAGGGGAGATGAGAAGGAGATGCTCAAAGCTCTGAGGATAGTACTGGCTCGATACCAGGTTGTTAGTCGTTGAACTCTCACTCTCGGTAGTAGCAGAATTCTTACTCTCATCGAGAGAGGATGACACTAGAGTTTGGGGCAATTTTCTAGTTTATTTCTCACACAAATGCCATGCCAACCTAAGGGGTTGGGGATACATATTATAGGTCGCTAGGCGATAAAGCATATCTTAGATGCTAGTCTAAGATGCTAGTCTAAGATGCTAATATGCAGTCCTAAGATGTCTCTAAGATGTTGTCCTAAGATGCTAAGATGCCGGTCAAGGATCTCACCTGCTGCTGTCCTCTGTCCGGATGATCTTGCTATCCTCTAAAAAGATGTCACTGCTTGTCCTCTAAAACAGACCACAAAGACTGCTGCAGCCCCACAAAGACCACAGAGAGACTTATCCATCATACTCCTATAAAAGAAAAAACAGCTGCTGTGGGCAGCCAGTAAAAAATGGCTTAAAATAAAGCCTGAGCCAGGCCAAACAGAGCCTAAGAGGACAGAGCCTAAGAGGGAGCAGATGAAATACCAGTTTAGTAAGGAAAGTAGTAGGTAAATCTTTCATTCTTCTCAGAAACTGTGAGTTTGTGCCCAAATGTGTACCCAACATTTCTGAATAGAACTTGCTGCAAATTTTGTTTGATGCCATTTGAGACTATTAAGAGATCCGGCAACTAGATTGCAGGTAAAATTACTCTAGAATGTGCCATTGTAAAGTTCTTGCTGCCAAAAGGCTATTATGATTCATATGGTAAGCCAAAAGGCTATTATGATTCATATGCCAAAAGGCTGGTAGCTTCAATAAGAGCACCCTGTAACCAATAACTTCTGAGCAGGCCACTCAGAACACACTTAAAAAATTGTACAGGACGGCTCACTCTCCCTGTAAGTCATGAACTAACCGAAAGGGGGTCAGTTAATGAAACCTAAGTAAAGGGCCTTGCCAAGAAGGAGATAAATCCTTTTGATCAAACAATCAACACAAATAGATAAATAATTGCAAAAGAGAGTGGAAATAAAGATTCTAGTTATAGTGTCCAATTAAACTTACATCAGCAACATCTTCAAGAAAACAGAGATCATAATATCCAAATTGAGTTAATGCATTCACTAATGCTAAGATGATTACTGCAGAAGTCGATTGGAACATGAAAGTTATAAGCATATGAAAGTCCAAATTTTACTACCTCTGGTTAATGTAGCATGTCTACAGCCTCATTAGAATGCCTTATTTTGTACTATTGCGCTTGCCTCATAACTCAAAACCCTAGCAGCGCATTTCTTTCATGGCTATTGAATTCTGAGCAAATAAAAATTTCCAAACATGTTCTACTATTCATACAGACCCATTGGCAACGGACATTTCTCTAACTACTTGGTACTTCTTAGGAATAGCACTGCATGATAAGTAAAAAACTATGCAATAGCAATTCCGCAAACAGTTAAATTAGAAGTTCTCCGGGAGCATAACATCCTCTTCTTTCCCAAATGCTGGTTCAGGTTTGCTAGAAAGAAGAGCTCACAGATCCTAAGCAACAAGAATCAAATCTACAGATTCTTAGCGCCAAATAATGTAGGAAGGAAAGCTCACGGATCCGTCGAGTCCAAGCGAGCCGAGCAGCCACCGGTAGGCCGCGCCGTCACGGAAGGCGATGCCGCCGCTTCCACCGCCTTCTGCCTCGTCCCCGCGCCTGGGGCACCCGCAGTAGGCGCAGAGTGCAGACTGCGCACCGCGCAGGAGCCCTCCCGCCGCCCCGCAGCGCACGCATCGGAGCTCCGCCGAGACGGAGGCGGCGCCCGAGTCGAAGGCTGCGACGGCGTCGGCGACGGAGGGAAGGGAGGGCGGTGCATCTTCTGCAGAAGGGCGAAGGTGGCCTCGCGGAGCGAGGACTGGAGGCGGTGGATGGCAGCGGTGGGGATCTCCATCGGCGGGGAGGAGCGGGCAGGAGTGTGCTGGTGGGAATTCAGATCTCTCAGGTCCGTGGCCGTGTTGGGCTTGGGCAGTTTTTTTTTTTTTTTACAACATTTTTTTTTTTTACAACAGGCTTGGGCAGTTGGGGTTGGCGCTGCGCCCTCGTCTCTCTTCCCGTGGGACGTGACAGAAGCTCATTTGCGTCGTGCCTGGTCCACGGCAGCAGGTGGCGTTTGGATACCGGGAAATGGGAGGTGGGATAGGATAGAGAAATGAACGAAGGGTTAGGATTAAATAAGGTGTAAGAGCGGATGGTTAGGATTGAATATCTCTTATCCCTATTCTATTAACAGAAAGGAGTGTCTTTTTTACTTGAATAGGCAAGAGTCTTCTGTATCTTTGTATTTAAAGAATAAAATAAAAGTAGTTATATTATAACGGTAGAGCTAGCGTCCGGATGTCTGGACGCCCACGCATACTCTGTATCGTGTGCCTTGCCCACTTCGATTCGCAGCTCAGTTCCCCGTGGAACACGCAAAATTACGGCATGAGGAGGCGGTGGGAAAGGAAACCACCTCCGTGCGCAGCGCACCGTGGCTGCATGCGCGCGCTTTTTACTCCATCGTCTACCGGTCCTAGCCTAGTGTGTGCGTGTCGAATGCCGACTGCATTGCCGAGGAAGAAGGCCACGCGGCGACCGCCTGCGCGTGCTCTATTTTACGCATGCACGTAGGAATCCATGCGCCTCTCGGAACGTAGCTCTGAAACATGAAACACTAACATGAAACAAAATGCAATATACGTCTAAAACAACTGGAATATTTGAAACATGCACTTCCAACATATGCGTGAAATATATGCAACATCTAGATAAAACACTTGCAACATACATCTGAAACAGATGAAATATTTTTATATAAGTATTGCAACATCTAGGTAAACAGCTAGTAACATCCATCTCAAAACAGTTGAAACATCTGGAACATACACTTGCAACATAGGGGTGCAACACAATGTCACCTTGCTGCCTGGGCGGCTGGATACTCATTGTTGCGGAGCTCGCCGGTGCGATAGCGTAGGCAACTCGCCAACTCACTAGTAGGGCGGCATCACACGAAGCTCCTCTCACCTGCTTGCTGGAGCATCCATCGTGGAGGCTCGCCGGCTCGGTAGCACATGCGTGGAGCTCGACGGTGCGCCAGTGGCTTGTAGCATGCGCAAAGCTCGTCGGCACGGCTGCCGTAGCCTCTGCCCTGTTGTTCCTTATCGAAGTCATCGACGACGGGGCCTGGCGTGTAGCGCCCGCACGGTCACTGCCGCGCTCCCGCCTGCCCTATGGGCGGCCTGTTGCTGGTCTTCTACGCTGCCGCTCGCCTCAATTCGGGGTGAGGGAGGCAGTGAGGTGAGGGTGTATCAAAGGGAGAGGGAGGAGCTGGTGCTGGACTCCTAAGAGCAGGCTGTGTCGTCAGGCTCAGAACAAATGGATAAGAATGATTCGGTGGGAAGAGATGTCCATCCATTCGGACACTTGACTATATCATTATCGATATTATAAAGAAAGGCCAATTCTCAGTCGACTCGGCGTACAAGTAAGGCTATATTGTGTATATACAACCTATGGACCTTTCTTATGTCGCCGCTACCCCCAGCCGCCAAGCATCCTAGGCCGATTGCATCCACTTGTATCCACCGATCGGCTTCAGCCTTTATGGCTGAGAGGAGGTCGGTCAACGTGGTTGGGAATCTCAACATGGTTGGGAATCTCTAAAGCAGTGGGTGTTCCTTTCCTTCCAAATCTATCAAGAGACCAGCGTGAATTGGGAATCCATTCCCAATCTCTGCTGACCATCCCAAGTTGATCACAACCTCCTCCACCAGCCTATGGTTGTGTCTGCTCCTGTGGTAGGTTGCGACCAAAAACTTGCAAAATCCTATGTCAAACTTCCCGGGTTGCCCATCACATTGCATCCACTAATATGCATAGCACACCCTAACATTGACTCATCAGAAAGAACGACGCACCGGCCGATTGCCTCTCGCATCTCATCCACTAATATGCAGAGCACAACCTAGCCCCATTGCCAAGCCCCATCCACATGGCCTTGGATTCCATCGGTGGAGAGCAAATCAAGTTGCACGAAACACAAATCCTTGCTTCATGGATCATAGCCATGGAGACGTTGAAAGGATCTAACAATGCCTAGAGGGGGGGTGAATAGGCGTATCTAAAAAATTATTGCAAATGTTAAGTTCAAATTTGTCAGCCACTGTCGGAAGTCCCGGCAGTTTGGGTCGGAACTTCCGACGTCGTCAGAAGTTTCGGGCAAACTGTTAGAAGTCCCGACACCTACGTGAACTATGAAAGCAGTGCCAAATTTAACTTTGCAGATAAATAATCTTACAACCCCACTTCCTAGTGGTTAGATGAAGATGTTGGGTCACTCCCTTGACGCTAAAATGCCTCCAATTCATAGATCGAGTCCAAACTCTAATAAGTAGCTTGGGAGAGAGAGAGAAATAAATACAAGTAATTTTGAGCAAATCACAACAACAACAAGCACGCGGGACATAGGGATTTATCCCGAGGTTCGGCAACCCCACAAAGGAGCTCCTACATCATCATTGTTGAGGTGACCACTAAAGTCAGAGTCTCTTTCACCTCCTTGCCTCACTCAAGGAAACCACAAAGGTCACTTGAGTTTCTCCACTAGAAATCAAGGGTAATACAAATTTCCCAAGGCTCTTCCACAAGTTGAAAGCTCTTGGGCGATGCCTAGCCAGCTAGGGGCAAATCCCCAAGAGTATTGAACGCAAATTCAACTGGCTTGACGAAGAAATCAAGTGCTCAAGCTTGCTTGATGATTTTCTCACTTAATCCACTCTCTACTCAAAACCTTGGAGGAATCAAAGTTGGGGGCAAAGGGGAGAAGAGAGGAGAGCCTTAAATGCTTGGGAGCTATTTTGGATAGAGTTGGGTCGCAATAAATGGGTGAGTAATGGTTAGAAGAGAGGAGAGAGCTATTTATACTCAAAGGAAAAATCCAACCGTTCAGATCTACGTCGAAAGTTCCAACGTAGATCTCGGGACTTCCGACCTCTATAGAAATCACTATAGAAAGCAAGGTCTAGGTCACTACAAACACATCAACATCGAAAGTTCTGACGACTATCGGGAGTTCCAATGGTCGAAACTTCCGACGCACGTCGGGAGTTCCGACCGCTGGTACTACGGGTAGGACAAGTGGCCAAGCATCGGGACTACTAGCCTGAGCTGGGACTTCCGACTGTTGGGAGTCCTGACTTACATCGGGACTTCGAACGTCTGGGTCAATGAGCAGACTAAGTGAAATCTCTAGTTTGGTTTTGTGAATTGATAAAACCCTAAGTGCTAACCCATTTGCTCTATGTGATCATGAGATAGGGTAGCACATTCCAAGTGGTGGAGCAAATGTTGAAGATCATGATGGTGGTGATGGCCATGGTGATGATCAAATGCTCGGGCTTGGAAAAGAAGAAAGAGAAAAACAAAAAGTTCAAGGCAAAGGTGATATCCATAGGAGCTCTTTGTTTTGGTGATTAAGACACCTAGTGGGTGTGATCATATTTAGGATAGATACCCGTACTATTAAGAGGAGTAAAACTTGTATCGAAATGCGGTTATCAAAGTGCCACTAGATGTTCTAATTCATTACATATGCATTTAGATTCTAGTAAGTGCTAACACCCTTGAAAATATTTGTGAAAATATGCTAACACACGTGCACAAGGTATTACATTTGGTGGTTGACACATTTGAGCAAGGGTGGTGAAGTTGGAGATCAAAAGGAGTTGAAATAGGGGCGTGAGACCCTGCTTCATAGAGCATCGGACCGGCCTCTGGCTAGGTCCGACGGCTAACCCTAACACACACGCAGTGAAGAGCCAGTGTCAAAGCGGGGCTCGCGAGGGCATCGAACCGACCGAGTGCACTGTTCATTCAGTGCTACGTGTGTGAGTGAGCGCGGGCGCGACACGTGTTAACATCGGACCATGGGTTGGGTCTGATGGTGGGCGTCGAACCTAAGTCTGAGGGTTTTAACCCTCCCTAGACCTCTCTGGACTGCATCTGACCCTTCCTGTGTGGAGTCCAATGGTGAGTCTGAGGCCCTAGTTCGACAAGACGATCGAGTGTGGTAGTGAGCCGTTGCACGCAATGGTCACTTTGTTTCAAATGGGACACGTGGCAGCGCATGAGTGGACGCAGCAGGGCATCGGACCAAGCATCGGACGGTCGAACAGCCTATGCCAGCAAGTCCGACGGTCACTTATGTGACCCAATGGCTGTATTTCATGGGGGCTTCTATTTAAGCCACATGACCGACTCTAGCTCACTCTCTTGACCATTTTTATTGACATAGCAACCTAGTGAGCTGAGCCAAAGCCCTCCCACTCATCTCCATCATTGATTCATCATCTTTGTGAGATTAGGAGTGAATCAGGTGCATTGTTGGAGTGATTGCGTCTAGAGGCACTTGGTGATTGTGTTTCGCTACGAGATTCACTTGTTTCTCTTGGTTGTTGCCGCCACCTAGATGGCTTGGTGCAGCAAGGATCATCGAGTAGAGGAAGGTGATTGTCTCCGACTCCGATCGTGGTGATTGTGAGAGGTTCTTGAGCTTTCCACGGCGAAGAGCCAAAATGGTACTCTAGTGGATTGCTCATGGCTTGTGGATCCTCATCTTGTGTTGGTTGTGCGGCACTCAATTGCGGGTTAGCCGTGTGATGCCTATTAGTACGTAAACCTCTAAGTGAGTGAATCACCACAACAGGGACTAGCTTGCTTGCAAGCAAGTGAACCTTGATGAAAAATCATTGTGTCATCTTGTCTCTAAGGATTTCATTGGCATTCATTGATATATTGTGATTGATCTTTTGCCATGGCGGTATACCTCACTACCTATCTTGTGCATTTACTTTCTTAGTGTAGCTAAGCTCTTTAGTGTAATTAGTTTTGAGAGCTAGTGTTGACATTTCTTAGTATCACCTTAATACTAAGTTGTCATACCTAGCAATGATGCTAGAAATGCATTGTTGGCAATTATTGAGAACACATGTAAATTTATATATGTATATATTAAGTAATCCACAAGCGCACAGATAATATACCATTGTAGCATTTCACCTAGAAGTATACCAGGTATCGTTATTTATATTTTATCCACAGGGAGGAGCGATGGGGTTGGCACAGAGATATTGTCAAATATGTATACTTATGACAAGATCATTAACTCTCATGC